GAAATTCGCCTAATTCTAGACAGCCTGTAGCGAATCATTTTCGTTATGAAATTAAAGATGAGAAATGGAAGATATGTTTACAGATTCGATCACTCAAGCGGCGAGAGTTCGTTCCTTTTATTTTATGTATTAAAAAATGCTAGCGAGCCTCTATAAGCCTACGAGATGAGGCTTGCAGGTATACGAAAGCAAAAAGTCGCTTTTTCAGCAAAATAATTCCTTTGTAATTCCAGAATAAAACTTATCGGATACAGCTTTGATAAAGGCCACTGTAATTGTCACTTGAAGACATACAAAACTTTTATCTCTGGCAGGTACCGTGGCTTCAGATCTGAATAACTCACAAAATTCCAAGCTTCGACTGTAAAATAAGAATACAGGAGAGACGTGAACTGCTTCCAAAACGTATTAATCAATATCATGGGAATGACGTAACAATTTTCCTAATTTGCTTTAGGAAATGCTAGCAATCCATTTCTTTGGATATAAAAGGCACAACATAATAATTGGTTAAGTTAATGCCTGTGCATTTTGAGTAGGGACATACATTAAAGGGAAGCGATCAATGCATGATCAATGAATAAAATGGAAGATTTAGGAATTTCTAATTTGAACTTTCCGCCAATAACCACATCAAATAACTCCCATAGGAATCAATAAAAACTAGGTAGACAGATATATTTCTTGTCATTATTATTCTCTTTGTGCGATTAAGACACCTAACAAAATAATCTCAGTAATTAAATGCACGGCGAATAGGAGATGAGCAACAATGTTCAATGCCTTATTTACTTGATAAGTCTTTTCTACAGGTGCATGCTGGGATTGTAAGGACGCAATTTTAGATCTTGTTGATCGGAGTGAAAAAGGAGCTCACAACCTGTGTCAAACTTGTCAAAAAATGGAAAAATAAGGGATATGTAGGTAATTAGAAATTCTGACCCCGGGCAAAAAAAACGTGCCCATACAAATGAAAGACGACGAAAATTGGTAAAGAAACACCATTCTAGCAATCTCCAAAGCTCTACGTGCTCGCAAAAGGGAATTTCTACATTAAACCGTAGAATGAAGTTTAGATTTCAAGGCGTATCGTGTATTTCCTTGAGTACAAATTTAGAGTTCGTGTGAACTGAGTTTTCGCCTAAAGAAGGACTTGAGCGTCGTTTGGAACTTGAGCTTGACAATAACTTTGTTGGAGGCAAGATAGATGCCTTCATTCGAGGCTCTCTCTGTGATATCAGAGATCTATTTCAATTACGAATGTGGGAAGATTCAAAGATGCTAACTTAGGAATCAAAAGAATACAAAAACTGAATTCTCTACGCCGTTATTGGTGTTTGTCTTTTTCATTTCTTTCTCAAAATCGTGGCTACATGGTAGCAATCGCCGACACAGTGCATCAATTACATTGCAGAGGAATGCTTTATTCTCATCTCACAATGCGGTATGCTTTCTCTGTTAATCAGCAAAATAGCCTAAGCAAAATAACGCGCTTATTTTCTATACCTATTGCATGGGAGGAGCAGATGATAGAGCAAATACAGGAGAAGCCCGTTCGAATACAGCAAGTCCTGCTTAAAAGGAAAGGAATTCAAATTTTCAAATCAGGCTGTTTCTTGTATGCAAGAAAATATATTTAAATAAAACTGGCTCATTTCCTATATGTCCATTCAGAACCCTCTTTTTATATAATGCTTTCTTGGCAAAAAGTATCTTGGAATTCAAGGATCATTCTGGATAAGAAACAAGGATACCCTTAGAAATGAATTTTAACCAATTAAGTATTAAATACTGTATCTATAAATATATATATTTGAACTTTAATTATCTTTTATTAATTTTGCCCCATTGGTAGGAAAGTATCTGGCTGTCTAGTTCCTTATAAAGGAGAAAATATACTCTATGACGGCAGGCTGTGGCTTTTTTAATATGTCCATTTCTTGCGGGACTTACTCTATAAGATCCTAAATTTTTCAGTTCGACCTAGGCAGATTCTCATTTAACGAGTATCTCTCAGTAACACAGGATTTCGTTTCTTAAAATGGAATACTTCATGTCATCATTTTGGGGCCTCAAGCCTTGGTTCCTGCTTCTACCTAGTTTTGTGCTAACTAATTGGCATTACCGATATCTACGCTAAAAATACAAATTAAGATTTTTAAGGAACTTTAAAGAGCCTACATGTAGACGGCCAAAACATTTTACGAAAAACTTTACCAACCACGTAAGAAAATCTCCGAGTGTCATATCAGAAGACAGGGGTGCCGTCCGGAAAAGTTTGGAAGAAGTCTGTGCTATAGAGAACGTTTAGAAGCCACACCCGTGTTCACACCCTATATACTTGCAATTTGGTATAAGATTCTCGGTTATGTTTATGAAATCATTCAAACCCAGGGGCCATCTTTGAAAATCTCGTACACCTTGGTATAGATTCTATTATTTTAATTGAAAATCCCTAGAAATCCTTTGTTTAGGTTAAAATCTCGTACACTTTTGCAAGGATGAATTTCCCCTCGATTCAAACTATTAAAGGCTAATAAAAATCGCTCTTGCATGGAAAACCTTTAGCATGATAAAGGGCTAAGTAAGGAATTCGCCTAAATAAACAAACACGGGCTTGTTAAGGGGGCGGAGCCCCCCCCCCTCCCCACCCGAACCTACCCACCATAACACCACTGTCAGTAGACTGTGTGGCCTTTTTTCTGGAAAACTTGATGTGGCCTAACCTCAAGCAGACTCAGCCTACAGCGGCCCCGGATAAGTAGCAGATCCTTGGCATGGAGCAATCCATCCCACTACACAAGCTCATGGCATTATTGATGGACAGCGAGGTACAATTGACACTGATGACGTGCCTAAACCTGGAATTATCAAAAGTCTACTGCGGTTTCCATTATGACCACGTGATACAATAAGAAGCACTCGAAGTAATCGCTCAAGTTGTTCTCTTTCTGATACTGTGGTAAATTATCTGTCGTATCAAGACCGCCCGCTATGAGAAATACTTGAACTTGTCAACGGTTTTGCTAACAATGAGGTGACGATGGAGGAGAAACGGGTGTACATTTCAGGCAATTAACTCGTCAATAAATTCCAGGAAAAACTCACTTAAAGTTTCAAATGCGTGTAAAACATTGCAAAGGACAGAGGTCCTTTTCCATAAGGGAGGAATGGCTTAGAACCAATGCCGTGGGCAGAATATAATTATTGGGGGCACGACTGTTTGAGAAAAATAGTTCCATAAGGAAGTTTCATTGGAAAAAAGGGTTTTTATAACTTTCATTGCAGGGTCCCAACTCCGCTCCAAAAAAAGAACAAGAGTGACTACGGCCCCGCAGAACTGCAACAAATTACAAACACTGGCTTGGGGTAACAAAGCCGAGGCAGCCCCTTTGGAAAAACGGATGTTTACATTAATAGTTATTTCGAGGCTTCCTCCCACTTCCAAAAAATTGGTTAAATTATTGTAGTTATTAGCAATAAAAAGGGGTTCATTGGGCAATAATAATCATCATCATCATTGCAAGTTGGCGGGACATTTTTAACCCCTCAGGTAGAATAAGTTAAATATGGTTATCCTTTCATCCCTTCCTGAGTTGGAATTGAAATTTTAGGGATACGAAGGAGGGAATGCTGATCCAATCCCACAATAAATCTTCATACAAAAACAAACAGAATAGTCACTACAGTCAAGCCACAAAATATCCTAAATGGGTAGGGAGAATAAAGCGGCTTGTCTTGAGCTTTTATTCAGGGGATGAACTCTCCCAATGGTTTTATTTACAATGCGGAATGGTTAATAAAAAATTGTTTGATCCGAGCTAGCGAGAGGTGGTAGCATTGATGCGAACAATAGGCCAATACAAGGCCATTGAATGGCGTCCAACACGGCGGAAAATCAAATGAATTTTCAATAAAACAGGCTTTAAGAAGGTTTATAAGAGGAAGCCGCTCTTCCTCTTGAAAACACCGGAGATTCTTGCTAACACACAGCGAATTCGAATGGTTATTTGTCATAATAAACCCGTGGTGCCAGGAAAAATAATAGCATGGTGTACTAGAGGGTCTAACTAACTTCGATAGAACAAACTCCCGTGTGCCGATGTTTGCGGGTTGTTTATCATAAGGTAGTAGTCTGGCTGGGCACACACAGCAATTACAAGCAATTTGTTGATAAATAGAGTCAATCGCATGCAATAAAATAAATTGCGCTAGACAATGAGCGAAATTGCCTCGTTTGTCTTTTATCGTGTTAGATTTGTTTTGCTTATATTTAATGAAATGCTTTTATATTTATACGAGAACTTAAACAAAATTGATAGTTAGGTGAAAATTCAGTTTTCAGCAACCAGTATGGGTTTTGTAACATGCAGCCACGGCCACTATGCTTGCATGTTTGGTAATGAAATGCAACAGAATAAATATCAACAAATTCATGATAAAGATTTTTTTAACTTTCAGTAAGAATTTTTATTGTTTATAAAGCCTTAGCAAAGAGGTGCATATGCTGGAAATAAAAGAAGAGAGCCGTTGAAAGTTATCGCCGATAATCTTGAGTACAAGCTTCTTAACACAATATATTATGGCTAATATCCGTCAAGTGCTTTACACTTGAACGAATAAAAAACTGAAGTGCAAGGAGCTGGGCTGACAGGTTATGTTGTCGGGAGAATTTGCTGTTCACCCTAGTCTACAAAGTACCTGTTGCATCCATAATTTTTTAATGTTTTCATTTCAAATTTGGTTTTCTCTGCTCCTTTCTATCTCATCGACTTTACGGTTTTGCGGGGACGAACAAAGACAAATAATGTAACAAGCTCTCGCGTCGACCGATCTGATGATGCAGTTGAAGGGTTTAGGTTGGGAAATCACGCGGTTTCCACGGCCATTTCTCTGAATAAATCAAGAACAAAAACGTGTGATTGCCAAAGCAACAGCTGACGAATTTAAAAGACAGCTCGGTTTCCTTCGCACAAAGAAAACAAACGTGGTTCACGTACCTTTAGTATATCTCCCTCAGCGCTTGTTACTGCACCCGCACGACTGAATCTGCCTCTCACTTGATATGTTAGTGTATTGTACTTTCCAGCTTTATTTTCCACTAAGACAACATCGATCATGGCTACATCTAGGCCAAGAACTGAACTAACAAGCAGCAGGATGTTGAAACAGTACAAGACAATAACAGAGAACATGATCGCCTTCACTTTGTTTACAAAACCATTCTCATATAAAATATCACTCCTGATTATTGAGAAGCACTCTGACAACAGCAGACTGATATTTTTCTACTTTTCTCGATCTGAAATATTTCCCTGTGCGGTCGTGCCTCAGTCCGCGGTGCTGGACTCGAAATGAAGTTTCACCTGTCCATCGCTTCGTGTGAGATTTTAATCCGAGCGGAGAAGTGAATGAAGTTTGCCGCACTGCTCCGCCTACTCTCTCTCCATCCGTCACAGGACACCAGCACAAAGGAACCTCGCCAAAGGCGGCTTTCTCTAATGAAACGACTCATCGGCATAGCCTGCTTTCTAGTGTGTGAAACTGTCGTCTGTGGCCATGCAATTTGAAGTTGAATACAGCTTTAGAATTAATTGACTCAGTTACTAGATATCACATTTTTCAAAACACCATCATAAAAAACAAGTAAAATCTAATGGTCCTTTACAATTATAAGAGCCACTTAAAAGGTTGCAAATATTTGTACTTTTTGTTTCCGGAGAAATTCTTCACACCGCCAGAAAGGTAAATGTCCCTTGACAATAGTGACAAATAGCATTTTATCAGACCAGTAGTATCTAAATATGCTTGCAAACAGATATGGGGGAACTATGCTACAAGGGTCAAATATATGGGAACCACAAGATATCCGCGAAGGGGAACGGGAGCCCATACCAATTTGTACGATTTTCAAAGACATATCATTTAAACAAACACCTCTGGACAAATTTAGTCTTGGGAATGATATAATTATATTGTAGACCAAGAATAATATGTCGCTAAATTCGTGCAGCTAAATAAACAATTAATTGCCTTTTTATAAGACTCAAGCTCAAGGATGGTCTTATTATCGCTCTTGTAGAAAGTGACAATTTTAGTAGTGTCTATAAATATAATTTCCAATTGTAATTAATCAACTTCAGGTTTATTGTAATTTTTTCTTCCTTTTTCAATTTTTAACAGCACATTTGTCGCTTAAAAGGTAACCCTATATGAATAAATTTATAATGATTAATATATATGTGGTTAGGGCCGGAAGGGCTATGCCTCAAGTTGGTGTGTTAGTTCCACATACACTGGTACCAAGATTATCTTATCTTGCTGGTACGGGACGTGTCGTTTTGGGGTACCTTTTTTCAAGTAGAATTTGCCATTTTATTGGAACTGGTCATGAATTTTGGGATTTTTTCAGCATGACCTTTAATGAAGGTAATATGTTAGCATTTACTTGATTGAGTTGTTCAATTTTTGCAGATCTGAACTGAAATTGAGGGTATGCATTTTATATTATATCTAAATCTTGAGGTAGTGTTTTGGAAAATTATTAATTTTAAGGAGTGCTTCCATATTTCAAAGTGGCACACGCCCGTCCTATGTCTTTTTAGGTTACCCCCGCGCTGCAAATAAAATGCACTGCCATAAGCGTACAAATACCATGACAAATACCTTATCGTGCACTAGCGATAGAAAATTCGCACTGCCAAAAAATCAAAACAATCAACTATTTTTTGGATGTAAGCAAATCTTTGGCATAAAATGGTAATTATTTTGGCATGAATATAAGCCCAACAACACAAGATGCAACATGTGTGCTAGTTAGCAAATGAAAGCTCACATGGGACCATATCCGTTATACTACATACGTAACTCAAATTGAAGCGGTTCCAAGGTCAATGTCTCCAGAAATTTTTTCTCAGATAGGTTCAAAGATGAAGTCCAAGAAATGGCCTATAATGGAGCCACTTGCTGCTAGTGGGAGCTAGCCTTTGGGAAATATTGATACCATCCCTCTTTTTGCATAATGTCAGTGATACACATTTCCAAAAAAATTTTTAAATTTGCCTAACCCTATGCTGTATGTGAAACATGTTTCAACAATATTTTATAGGGGGTAATAACTCCAAAGAACCTCCTCTGAACCACTGGTAGACAATCATTTTGGACACCAAGAAAGATAATAGACTTGGTATTGGTACATTTGTTATAGACTTGGCTATGGCACAGAACAAATTACATAGTAGCAGCGCCAAGGGAGCTCCCACTTTTAAGAACATGATCGGGCGTTTCTCTAACATAAAACGATATGATGATAATTATTATGCCTGTAGAAATCCCTTTCTCATAAAAAACACAGTGCAAGTTACTCGTCAAAGGACAATTTGCATCTTTATCTTTTAGGGCATGAATCCATCGCTGATGAATAACATCCTTACACCTTCAAAAATATGCCTTAAAGCTGTCAGATACCATCTGTTGGTTGTAGACTATGACTTAAAAAACAGTATATTATGAAATTCAGATGGAAAAAAGGGTGTGGGGAAAACCTAATTTCGAGAAAAATCAAATATTATCTTATATTATATTATCTTTATGCTACTTATCTTCTACTAGTGAAATTTTATTTATTACAAACACACTCTAAGACGCATACATTCCTTGAGTTTCATAGATAGATTGACTTTCAAAATTTTTAAACTCATGTTGCAGATTTCGTCTTTTGGCATATCAGTTTATTTCTATGAAATATAGGACTAAGATGTTAACTGCCAAGGGTTAATCTGTTAAAGTCAATCAATTAGCTGGCTTCAGCAAGCAAGATTGCATATATTTATGGGGTTGAGCTAACAGTAAAGGCTAAACGAGCACTGACATTATTAAAATGATTTAAATAACAATTCAAATAATTTTTTTTAAAAAGATTGCTCACACTTCAGACCAACATCCTTACAATCTAATTTGATTTTACTTCAATAAATTAAGTTCTTCAATTTCCCATCTGTTTGAATTGTTCTTTATTCATCTTAAAAAGAAAAAACTTAGACTAGCAACCTCAAAGCAACAATGCCAAGTGTGGAAGGAAGAAGTATGTGATACGATGCCAGGATAAATAACATCCCAATCCTTTCAGGTACTGGATCTTTTGCTTCAAATTAAATCAAGCAAAACGTGACCAACATTTTATATAAGCCATGAGGGTTGAGCCATAGAAAGAGCCACTCTCTTGTCTAATAACAGATGTGAATAGCTGTCAATATATAACATGCAAATGCCATTACCCCTTCTTTCCTGATACTTAGTTAACTACATAAGACGAACAACTGCGATAATGATTGGTGGTGATGGAGGCAATGCAAATACGAAAAAGTTAGCGAAGCATTTTGTGTTTCTAAGTATTATTTCTTGCAAGAACGCCACAGCAACAGCATTTTTCAAAATTTCATTCAGAAACGAAATCATGAGAGAGAAAATTCTTGTTACAATGTAATTTTGTCTACTTTTGGTCAATTATTATCTATAGTCGTCTGAACTGACGTCACGCAACCTTCTTCGTCTTATCCAAAAACAACACTTTTCATTTGTAATCTAGCTTCATAACTTATCTCGTTACATTTTCTGTCAATAACAATATTCTTCTCTTCATCATACTTTGTAATTATGTAATGAAATAAAGATAGCCTAACAATTCAGAATAATGGATTTTTTTTAACTCAACCTAGTAGTTTCTTTATGTGAAAAAAAGCATGAAGTTTATGCGAAGAATTGATCCTTCTTGTAGGAGAAGCTTTCATAGACGACCCTGGAGGCTGTAAAAACTTTTGTTGTTTGCACCAAGGTGTTGTTAACCAAAAATCTTTGCACCGAGGTCAATGTCACCAAAAATCTCAGTTAAAGGTTACTGAAATAAACTTCTTAAGAAATCTTAAGGGAATCGAGGCTAACTTCTTGTGGGTTAACCAATGTAATAAGATTTGCTGTATCACTATAGGGTTAGATAGTTTTTTACCGCAAACACAAATCCAGGCCTCTCTTTTTTCATTAAACTGTTCTGGTTTTTTGTATTTTCTTCTTGATAGGCTGAGAAAAATGAAAACAAAGAAAAATTTATCCATACAAAGTACCTTCTACATTGAGCAGTTGTTAATTTTTGAGCTTTTCTCTTAAGGCTTATTCGTCTGACGAAACAGCACCAATGAAAACTGGCTGTTCAAAGATAGGAATCTTCTGTTAAATAGATGTACTGAATAACAGATTACAGAACTTCTGCAGTGAATAAAATCTTCGTTAGGTCACGTTGTATCCGGCCAAAATGCATGCAAATTGCTTCCGTAGATGTTAATAGAACAGTTCTTATCTTACAATTGTCACATTGCTGCAGGAACTTTAACAGCATAACCCACGTTTCATAGCATGAATTTTCTAAAGTTTTGCACACAAAACAGAAGTTGACCTACTAGAAAAAAGTCATTGGCAATCTATGTTAAAAAAATTCATAGTCTTATGCACAGCATTCAGTCAAAACTTAAACCTGAAATGGACTTGATATGTTCAGATATTTGATCACCAAAATATATACTAAATTATTTTTTGCCAAATTATCTTTCATGTGAAGCTAAATTAACTTGATAGAGAATAATGTAGCGTGAATTAGCAAATATCTTGATTTGAAATTTTTACTTTTGGCCACATTACTTGAAAGAACATAACAAAATAACTCAAATATTAAGTTATCTACATATATTCAAAATTTGGTGATATTACCAATGAATGATGTTGAGTTTACTGTTGGATTACAAGTTTTTGCTTGGATCATAATGTATAGAGCAGCGACCAAATTGCAGTAAATGGAAACCTGTGGAAACATTCTTTGTTCATGCATCCATATGTGTTCATTCTTCAGACGAACAAATTTTTAGACATAACAACTGTCGGAAACTTTTCCCGTCCAATATTTTTGGGTAGTATAGTACCTAAGCCATGATCAAGTATTCTAATTCAGATTCGGAGACAAGAATAACACTCTAATTACCAAATTTTTACATAAAAAGTCATGGAGTTCATCCCAAAAAGCTGAACACCGATACTTCAATAAATACTAGATAAGAATCTTAATAATGTCGCAAGATATTTTTCGATAACTTTTAACGAAGTATGTGTTGATGCCATAAAAATCATCAAATTAAAATTTCCTTTCATGACTTTAATGCGCTGAACTTTTTCTTGATATATTTCAATTTCACTTTTTCATCTTGAAGAGGTCAACGCATAGATTTACGCAAGGAGGCACTATGGCAAACCAAATATGGCCGGCCGTGAACTACCTTGGGTACAACAGCCTCAGATAGTCAAAGGATTTAGCACTGAGAACGGAGAAATGGAGCCGTGGACATAATATCTTCAGACCTCAAAATTTTATTCAGTGAACTTTCGTATTTTATACAGCTGATTTCAACTATGCAAACCATATTCTCCTACAGAGGCTCTACATATTTTGGGTTTTATAGCGTAGGTCTTTTGAACAGTATACGGTATCCCATTTTTGAGGGTCACCTAGGGGTTTTTGGGAACAAGGGTACATCGCAAAAAATGATACGAAATATGATGATCCCTATTTGGACAAAACCGAAATATGACGACCCCTGTGAGCAAAGGGAGCAGAAGATTTTTACAACCACACCTTTTAGATAAGATTAAAAATAAATTCAGAATATTTCTTGCAGGTACTCTTTTATTCATTTGATAAATTTCATTCTTAAAATGGAACTCAATACTTTGTGGAGCCCCTGGACTTTAAGGCCTAGGGGCAATCTGCCCCCTGTCTCGGTTGCCCTGGGTATGTTCACACTATCAATCTTTGTCCAAAAATTTGCAGTTTGTGAAAAATGCGTAAAACTTGACCGCCATCCTGTTTATCACTGCAAAAATCAATTTTGTAACTGCATAAAATAGTTATCACAGCACCTTATAATTAGGTATGCTCCAACCTCTCAAAATAGAAGGGCATGCACTCGAAAGCCTCAAGGGTATATCGTCTGTGAAAACGCCCTATATTTCATGGGCTCCGACACAGGTTGAAAAGTGTGGGGGACCAAGGAAAAATTCAACACCCATTACAAAAGATTTTGAAAAAACTCTATTGTTTTGCAAAAAAAGTGGGGGGGGGCATGGCCACTATTTGTCGGTGACCCTGAATTTGACTGAAAATCTTTTCAAGTTACAGTTTACAGCATCACTGGTAATATTTTCTGGGTCAAGCTCCCTCGCCCTAAAATGCATGTTAGGTTTCCCAAGCATGCAAAAAACTAAGACAAAAGTCGCCTTTTTTCTTGGCAAAAGGCATTGCAGCACCTTAGCGAAGTGGCGGATTGATATATCTTTTATAGTTATTTTTCGACGGGACACGGGAACATTGATTATTTTTTAAAGGGAATACGGGAACCAGTTGCCCCCCTGGGAGACCCTCGTTTTTATAATGTTACCATTCCAAACGGGATACCCCGTCTCCCGTTTCTTAGAGTGTGCCTATCTGTATTTAGACACTTTGAAGTTTTCCAGCTGTTATTGGACGCTCAATTTTTTAAGGAATTTACTTGAACAACTTGAGGATCACGAAGTTAGATGTTTTGAACGAAAGGGGCACAGTTTTAGATATTTCGAAACTGTCTTTAAAATTCAACCATGAAATTCCCGATAACAATTATTTGATCTTAAGTTTTCCAGACCACAGGTGTTCAAAGTTTGTTAATCGATTGAAAGAAAAAGTTGGCAAAACTTAAACACTGAATCACAGTAAAAATTTAAAAGCGTTTCTTACGCTCAAGAAAACGCGATCCTATCTTAACTTCAGTTTGCCTTTCATCCTCTCTTTGCACTCGCTTATCAAAAGATTCGCTGGTTTTTCTAAAATTGAGAGCAAAACAGATCTCTAAAATAGGCAGTTTCGAGAAAGTAAGCCAGCTGCAGATCCTAAGAGCCAAACTATAGACAGTTTTCTTTATCTTTCATGACTTTTAATGGAATATCTAAAGAAATACCTTTAAAAACATGCCGACCTGGGTATTATATGGTCTAAGATCTATTAAAAATTAATTTCGGCATCGAGCTTGAAAAGAGACGCGCCGATAACCTTAGCCAGATAAACTGTAGTTTTCTGTGGCGGAGAGAAAAGCATAAACGTGCGCAATAAAGCGAAGCTAATTCTTGTTCAAGGATACCTACATGGTAACAAGTCAGGGGCAGGGTGAGGGCGGACGTGGGGGTGTTTCATACTTACCAGGGATAGTGATTAATTGGTTTTCGGCAAAAAAAACATACAGAAGATTTTGACTGAAAATGATTTAACACCTGGAATTTCTGGGGAATGCTGTTTTTTATAAAAATTAGCATGGGAATCACATACACTTTTGGGAGGGATTTCATTTTTTTTTAAATTTTGTACGTTTTGCAAGATCGAGTTTCCCCTTGGATTAAATGGTTCTAAAAAAGTGATGACGGGTTATCATTTTGAAATGCACTTTGATAGCATTTTGAAATCAACTTGAGCAATACTTTTCAGTTACGTCCAATTTTTGTCCTATTCTGCGGTGATAGAGTTTTTAGACATAGAATAAAATCCCCGTTTGAGGATACTGTTATTTTTTCTCACAATGAAAAGTTAGGATAAGAATAGGAAAATTAGAAGCAATTCATAGTCAGCGAATGACAATTTTTTGGAGGAGGTTTGTGGGGGTGTTATTGTTGTCAGCGAATGACACTTTTTTTGGAGGAGGTTTCTGGGGTATTGTTGGAGGCACCCTTTAAAACTGGAGAGAATTTCAAAAAGGAGCACCTTCAGATGATCAATATTTGCACACATTGAGACAATATTCCGAAAAGGGGCTTTTATAATGCTTCGAAAACTTTTTGACAATAGAGACATGTGTGTATTCCGTGATGCCACGTTGTAGTACCACAATTGGCCAAGCAATATTTTGTCGAAGTTACCAACAAAATATGTATATATATCTATCTATTTAGGAAAGTTTCTCTGGTGGTTTTTGCATATGCCTGTGGTAGAGGGTGGACCTTTCCTTCTAAGCAAAGAGCTTTTTGCTGTCATGTCAACTAGTTCTAAAAGAAAGGGAGGCATATTTTGATAGGATTGCAACGATTCCGCACAAACAATACGCAAATGTTAGTATTTAAGAAATGGAAATTACCTTTTGAAAGCGTTAAAATGTTTTATTATTCAATAAAAACACCGCTCATACCATCCTCAGAACGTTTAACGAACTATTAGTAAACCACTTGAGGAATATTTTAATATACAAACTATTGAAACAATATGCGCAAAGAAGCATTACAAAACTAATGAATACTCGTTATGAATTTGACAATGTCAGGCGTGTGTGGCCTTTAGATTTCCTTCTTCAAACATGCTCATAAAATCAACATTATCATCATAGATTTGATATCAATATCAGCAGTTTGTAACAGATGGCACAGGCGCAGACTTAGGGGGAGGGGGGGGGGAGGTTGGCTCTAGAGTTTGAGGCCCTTCTTACGAAAATTGGGAGGGGCAGAGGCCTTTCCCCCTGGGAAGTAAAAGAGTTGGCTACTGATTTTTTAGACTACTTTTTACATTCTTGGTTTCACGGATAAAAATCATCCCAAGAGATTTAATCCAGACGAAAAAATAACGATAATGAAAAATGTGAAAGAAAACCTCAGCTAAGCCTCGGCTAAGCATTTTTCTACCCTGTGCCATTGACAGCCATCATTAGCAATTGCAATTTATTTTTTGCGTCCTCCCCCCCTCCCTCCTGGAAAAAATGTAAGTCTGCGCCTATGACAGATGGGAAATTTCTTTGGTAACTTCGAGAAAAATGGCTTTTAAAAACTCGCTTGTACATTGTCTTGATCGTTCTGCAGGGGTTGATAGAGCTCGTAACATCCCACAGATCAGCAGTATTGACCTTAGAGATCACTAACAGTTCGTTTTAGTCTTTCACTTCACTGAGAAATAAAGAGCCTTGATATCATTAATTTATCCATAAGCAGAGGGCAAAGATAGTTAGGAAGTGAAGAATGCATTTCTTAAACATATTTATAGAGCCCAGAACTTCTCTAGGGTGTAGTGTCATACTGCATTGAAAGTATGCACCTTCGCGTTGTTGCTGCTGGTTATCCAATCTGCAGTCACGAACAGTACCTATGAAACAATGGCGCATTGTTGGCTTTCAGACTATTCTTCTCTTAGGACTATGATTTGTCACAGCTTAGTATTTTTGCATCTTTTCAACGATAGAAGTCAAACCCGTACCTAAGTGAATAGAATAAACTTACAAAACCTTTGTAAAAAATCTGGGTCTAATTCGACGTTCAAGATCGTCGATGAGACCCTCACTTGCAGCAGCAGCAATCAAGTAACTAGAAAATAAATTTTCAAAGGAGACAAGAGTGTGGGCGCTAAAACAGTAGGACAAGTCCTAAGGCAATACAAATACAATTCCAAATATGTATTGCCTTTTAAGACCCGAGAGCAGAAGGCTTTTTGTTTATAGAAACGGCCAAGCTTTGTTTTGATGCATGCGGATTAAGTACACTCACCAACTTGAAAACTCAAGTTAAAAAAATGCAAACATCTCTTTTATGACCGAGGGATCATCCAACTTATTGTGGGAGAAACTAGAGGCTTTGGTAAATTTAAGAGCCAAATCGTAGGTCAAGTGTTGGACTGTTGCCACGGATAGTATGCTTTGTACATCAAGTTACACGATACTGAAGCGTAAACAACAACAATTAAATGTAGTCTTTCTGCGATCTTCTAGAAGAACAAAGTTATTATGACGCTTCGGATTCTAACTGTATGGTCATTCAGCTTTCTTTCAACAAAGTTTTTGAACTGCTTCATAGTGTAGGTGTTTTGGTGTGTTTTTGAAAGAAAAAAGACTTTAAAAGAGTGTAAAATCTTTAAGGCAATAAATTAATACTTCGGATTCGCGAATGGTTTGAACCAAAAACTCCAGTTTGTATCTTACCTGCTAGCGATGGGGGCGTTTTACCCTAAAGAAGCTGAGAAAAATTCAAAATTTTTTCGCATTTCGAATCTAAAAGATACGAAAAATCTTAAAGAGACCAGTCTTTTGAGGTAGGTTCTTATGGACTTCAGTGTGAATGGGCGGTTCTCATCGGTGCTTAGCAGCTGAGAATTTACCAAAGTTTGTTATGAAGAACACTCTAGGCAAAGACATTCCATGAGAACAACGAATACAAAAAGTGGTGGAATAGCCCTAAATATATTGCCTTTTTGAACTTCTTTGATTTTTTAGAAAGTGTATATGTACAATCAATCTTTAAACTGAATAAAATAATTGTACAAACTAGTCACAGCACTAAAAACAACAAATATTAACATCTTGATTATGCGTTTAAAGACTTGGATTTCGTGAAAATCAATAATGAATTACTGTACAAAGTAAAAAATATCAGCAAGGTTTATACCAGAACATGGTTTAGATCGATAACATGATCTTGGAGTTTCCCTGCCAATGCAACTTAGAATGGTTCCCTATTTCCAAACATGGATGTTAAATAGTATATCTAGCGAGTATATTTATGTTCTAAATGTCATAAATGCATTGATATATCATTAAGAAAGACCTTGAGCGTCCATCTAAATCCCCTGGACCAAAAACACTTTATCAGCACATCCAACAGCTACCGCTGACTGCGGGCCTTTATGGTTGTTGTCAACAGAATAAACAGCTCCAGGTAAATCCATTAATCTACCTGTCGTCTATAGCAGAAGTAAGCGAAGTTTTAGGAATTTTTCCCATTTTCTATTTCATATATTAACTGTTTCCGTGTACTAGAATAAGCATATTTTAGCTGTTCATTCCTGGTACTTCTTAAAAAAATTGGCTACAAACTAAATCCTAGCCAGGATATTCTTAGACCTTACTCAAATAAAAAATGCTCTTCAGACATTGAGTTATTTTTGTAAAAAAACCAAAATACAATAAATCTAATCTCAGATTAGATATGATTAAAGGCAGAACTCAAATGGATAGATGTGAACTATTTATAGATCAAAATAGACAGACTGACTCACCGTAAGCAAATCAGGATAAAACAGGAATTAGAAAGCATACATGACATGACAATTTAAAGGTTAGGAACAAAATAAAAGACGTTGTATTATAAATTCATGAAAAGCACGGTTGGCAAGAGACGGCCTTTAACCAAAAGCGCAAACTTTATAACGAAAGAATTTAAGAGGGCAGAAAGCTCAATGGACATTGCAACAAAAACATAACGAATTTCCCGTGTATATGTTGCTTAGGATATATTTGCACGTACCTAAATGAATTGCTATAGCCTGCTTGGAAGTTTATGACAAACTTACCGTCATAGATTTATAATTTATAAACCGCATCATGTTGCAGTGGCTACCGCCAGTAATAATCGTGTCAGGATTCTTCCATTGAACTGTGTATATCTGGGATAAAGGAAAGAAAAAGTCGTCAAACGAACTTCAAGCTGACAAATCTTGAAAGCAAAATGGGCAACATTTTTTGCTTAAGTCATACAAAATCAAACATCTTAAAATGAGAGGCAAAGGAAAAAGACTTCAGTTGTTTACAGCCTACTTTAGTGACACATAGAAACAAAGAGTTTGAGAATGATAAGGTAGGCGAAACCGGTGTTTCCAAGAAATTATACGATGAGCTTTTGCTCCCATAAAGAATTCATGTTGATGCTTATTTTTACATAGAAGGTTTCTTTCCATAAATCAATTGGACGTGCCAAAGGCAGGGTTCTTGCTCCTATCATTTTAGTTCCACAGCTAAGATAAGCCAAGTGGTTAAGCAGATATTATTTAAGAATGAAAATCACGTAAGTAAAATGTAAGGGCTGCGAGAAAAATGCACAACGCAAAGAAAACCAGGGGACGAAGTAGGGGTTGAAGAGACCAGGGGACGAAGTAGGGGCAGACGTAGCGAGAGATCAGCTAATGCAGGACCAAAATTCCTATACAGAGATCCCAGGCATTGTCTCAAACACAATGACAGTTTGATTAGGGTATACGTTACATTTTTTTCAAAACTCACCATTGACCTGTTGAAATCTGAAGGGACGTCTTTGATAAGATTACCACTGTGAAAATCCCAGACTTGTACGTTGTTATCTTTGCGCCATGAGCCAGTCACAATATTGAGACTTGTTGGTTCTATGTCAAGACCTTCACCACAAATATGTGGACCAACAATCTTTCGAATATTGTGGCAAGGGTCTTGTCGAACATCCCACCACTATAATGAAAATACCTTGCTATTAGTGAAGGAGAATCCCTTTTTGCTTGGTCAATTAAAAAGGAATAGGTTAAGCTGTGATGCTATAGTGATCTTCTTTGCAACTTCAGTTGATGGCACTTTAATACCAAAAAGGAGAGGTATTGCAGCAAAGTTCTTGCAATTGAAATCAAACTCAAAAACCTCAGAAAAAAACACGGAGCTCAATAATAAAAGTTTTGAAAAATTTGTTGGAAAAAAATAGAAAAAAAAACAGATAGAAAGAGATACAAACAGAAAAGTATGGAAAAGGAAGCATTGAATTTAACAGTGCAGCATTATAGACCTTTCACCATATGCTAATGATTATCAGTTGACAAATCTAGTCTATGGAAAGGAAACTGGAATGACCCTGTATCAACACTATGGTGCACCACATAAGCTACTGACCCGTTTAAATCAATTATTTTTCAAATCACAAAGCAAGGCTTCACCATTCACTTCTTGCTGCTCTGCCATCCCATTAATGAACCTAGAAGTCTTCTCGCTGGTGTCAAAAATGTACGGCCTATGGTAAACCTGAGGCTCTAGATAACAATAGATTGAAAATCCTTTTATATGGAAATGAAGATTTGCCATTGAAAGCTAACAAGCTAATTTTAAATCTCACAATCAAGTATCTTTTTGAAACCAAACGCTTCGATTAAAGTTTACTTCTCATAGACCAACCTCTCTTCTTGGATTGTAAGAACAATGATATCTTTTATATAGTTAGATGGTAAATTTAAGCTGTTTTAAACCCCTCCCAATTAGGAACTCTTTTTAGGGGATTACGTAATCCATTTGCCTCGTTTTCACGCGACCGAGTGTTTTTGGATGGCCTAAGCCATAGGTGAATTGAAAATTAATGTCGAAGTTTCTGCGTATTGCTTAACCGAGTGTCTTACACTCTTATATCTTTAAGTATTTCTAATAACAAACGTTGATTTTTTCCATCTCTACATTATGGCCCCGGGGTAGATAGAGCTGATGATCCCCGGGGTATCGTCTTTGAAGTGTATGTAAAGAAGCGTGTAGTTAAGGTATAACAGTAACTTGTTATGTAGCTTTTTGGAATGTATAAAAAAAGAAAAAACACTATGGTGCACCGCATAAGCGATAGACCCGTTTAAATCAATTGCTTTTCAAATCGCAAAGCAAGGCTTCGCCATTCAAAGAAATATTTTAGCCTCAAAAACACAGACTAGGAAACGCCAGAACGTAGATGAAAGATTGCTTCTGCAAAAGTTTTGATACCAATAAGAAATACAGCGTAAGGCTTAAAAATCTAGCATACAAACAGTTCAAAGATTTTTCAGTCATACTTTTGGGTTTTTTACCTGTACTTAGAAAAAAGCTATGGTGAGCATCATCATATCTTTTTGGCTAATGGGTTTAATATACTGATGTAAACAAAAACACTTTGTCGGCACATCCAACAGCTACGACTAACTGCGGGTCTTTATGGTTGTTGTCAACAGAATAAACAGCAGAATAAATCCATTAATCTACCTGCCGTCTATAGCAGAAATAAGTGAAACTTTAAGATTTTTTCCTATTTTCTTTTTCATATATTAACTGCTTCCGTGCACTAGAACAAGCATATTTTAGCTGTTCATTCCTGGTAGTTCTTAAAAAAACCGGCTACAAACTAAATCCTAGCCAGGCTACAGCAATTCATTCAGGTATGCAAATCAGTTCAACACAAGTGCAGCCGTAAAGATATTCAAGTTTTTGTGACAAGGTTAGCGTTTCTATATCCAGGTCTTTTAACTTTGAAAAGCGTTCTTACAAAATTGACAGTGCTTATAGTTATTACAAAGAAATACGAAATTTTGAATAGATTCATAAGCTTTGCTTAATTTAAAAAGCTTTAACAGGAGAAAAATTGCACAACAGGAACTTGCTGTCATTTCTTTAAATAATACTTTTACATGAAAACATTTAAGTATCATAGAACTTTTGGAAATCTGGAAAGGGCAATTTGTAGTATTTGTTGCCATTATGTTTTATACATTAATGCTAATTGATAAAAAGGTGACAATTTCTCTATAAAAGTGGAGCTTGAAATATAAAGAAATATCCGAAACATAAATGAACTAAGAAATAGTGGCGAATGACCGTATTAGGCTTGGAAATTAAAAACCTTTGATTGTTTTGCACTCGTTCGAATAGCAGTAGAGATTAAGCACGGCAAAAGAATTCAATAAAAATAACAGAAAAATTGAAATCCAACGATAAGAATTTTCTCAGATTTGTTGGCACGAAACTTTGTATTAAAATGGCTTTTGATAGTAAAATTCTATGTTTCAAAAAGAAGTAAGCACCTGAACTGTATCATCCCAGCCTCCGGAAACAAATACATTTGGGTTATCTGGCTGAAACTGCACAACAAACACCCTCATAGTGTGACCATCCATGAACTGGTACTTGGTGCTATAAATGAAAAACGAGAGCTTGAAATAGAATCTTTTATTGTTTCTGTCACTTATTATTTCTGCATTCTGATAAAAAAGCTGAAACACCGACTGAGATTGCAATCATAAAAGTAATACTTTATGTTTCTTTCGTAAATTGAAAATGTCTCCTTGGCTATCACGTTTTTGTCTTCAAAGGTCTTCTCCATTGTCTTTGACCGCATGAGCAATGTTTTCTTGCTCCGTACTGATAGTAAACCAGGCCAAGGCTATTTTAAAAACTATTAAATCTTTACAGTTTTCCTATCTTTGATACACTGTATAGCAGCTAAGTCAAAAGAGCTGAAGCATTATAAAATTCTTATCCATATCCTGGATTTTGGACAAAAGATTACCGACTTTAAAGTGTTGACTGCGCAGACATAAGGACGTGAATCATTGACAATAAAGACCTACAGTGCCATTTTCCTGCAATCTATTTACATCATCGAATCAAAAGAAAGTAAAATAGAAGGCATAGCAAATGCTGATTGCCAAACCTGTTACTTAAATTTTTTTGGTTATGACGTAACAGTGTTTTGCGTCAAAACACTTTCAGAGATATGCGAAAATTGGGCATTCTATATGGAATGTAAAAACATGCGGAACTGAACGTCATAAGGTTTTCTGTTAGCTGAGTCATAAAAGAAAGAAGAAACGAGCAATGATAGAGTGTGAAGAAACCAATAAGTCATTTTTTACATAAATATCTCGATGACTCTAATTTGGAATTACTTTTTCAATAGTTGATTGAAATGAATAAGAAAATACCTTGCTTCAAAAGTGTTCAGTACATTTCTTGTGGATGCATCATAAAGGTATACCTTAGCATCACTTCCAGATGTTAGAAATCTGCCTGCGTTAGAGCTGATAGAGCACGTTAGGACTTGTCGATCTTCTTTAACTGTCCACAAGCATTTTCCCGAGGAGACATGCCACTGTTTGACGTCACCAGAAGCATCTATCAAGGTGGAAGTAAAATATTGCAATTTGGGATTTAAACATAGTAAATCAAAAAAACTTTGAAGCTGAGCAAATTTTGTCGGAATCTTCGATTATTCGATCTATTTATTGCTGCTTACCTTATGAGCTACAGCACTACAACCATAGTAAACCTCTTTTCTAACGATGGATAAAAAATTAACAAGTTCCCTAATTTGAACATTTGAATGGGAATCTTTTATTATTAAGGGCGCTTTCAAGAAGCACATTCAATTAGTTAAAAGACCACCAGGAAATTACGAAATTTTCAAGGAAACTAAAAAATTGCAGACACTTCTTGAACTGAAAGCAGGGACAGCTAATAGAAGAGAAATCTTAAATTATTAATGCATACATTCACTTCTATTTTGGTTTGTCGATTTCATACTAAACCAATTTGTATCTTTGATCTAAAATATATTACTAAACATAAAATAAGGAAAAGCTGATAACACTGTTGATTTTTTAAAGCTAGCTGATTGCGATAAAAACACCACCTCGTGCCCTATCTTGCAATCTTGCAATCAAATATGTTTAGAATTGGTACTTATGATAACATTTGTGAATTCATAAAAAAAATCAAGCAATACGTACAAGTTGCAGTCACTACGTTTGCATAAGTTTGGTCTCTGGTGTCTGGCTTCCATCTCAAGCATGTGACTGGAAGGTCTGAGTTTGGATTTGGGATGCTATAAACACAGGTCTTTGACTCGACTGAGTAAACCTAAAGTAAAGCAGGTTTGAATGTGTTGCTGTAAATTGCATATGTTTGGATAAAAAATTTAGGTGGTAATTGCCAAGAGGTACGATTTAAAGCAGAACGATAATAGCAGAACAAAACTGAATACATAAAGATGTCTCTTGCTCCAGTATAGAACAAGGAAAAGTAAAGAATGTTTTACTATTAGCCTAAAAAAAATTCAATGAAGTTAATCATAACACGAACTCATGAAAAAGTTACAAGGGAATTACTTGCTAAATACACTTAACTTATCAACATTAGGCTGTTTTAAATATAACTGTTTAAAGGCTTGTCGTAAAGTGTTGTCAAAGTTGCAACTCCAATTTTCACGCCTAATTTGATCAACACAGCTTTTGATGATGACATTTTCAGTTGGAACCATAAGTTAAATTTTGCATTATTGGTGGATATATCCAAACAAAAATATTTGAAAAACGGTAAACAACATTGTCTTTCCAACAAAAATAAATGACATAATATAAAACTTTAATAAACAAACTTTTGCAATTTTGTAAGGTCTAAAGAATTTCCAACAGAAAAGTAGAACATAAGGGGAAAAACAGCAATTAATTCTAGTAGCAATCAATTCAAAATTTGTAACATACCTTGATGACTCCATTTGCCAACCCTACAGCTAATAAATCTCCATTTGGATTGAACCTGCAGTTCATTACCTCTTTAGGCAGTTCACTAAAAAGAAAACGAGATTTAAAAAATAGTCATTTTTGCCATATTAAAATATTTTCACAGAAAGGTTTTGGAGATGCATCAAGGGGAAACTGTTCGGGGATAAAAAACCTTTTATCAAACGTGTCCTTTCCAAACAATTTCTGAAAAATAGACAAGTAGGTGATAATAAAAATACATTAGATTTGGGGAAAGTTGCTGTAACCATGATACTGTTTCAAGACGTCTCTAAGGAAAGTAAGGCATTCCTTTCAAAAGGCATTGTTGAAACTGGCAAACATTCCAACGAGATTTCAATTTCTTTTCCAGAGAGATAGCCAGCCTGGCCTGATACCCCAACAATAGCCATCTATCTTCTCCATAAGAAAAGGAAGGCAATGCAACAAAAGCGAGTTCAAACAATGACTTGATAGCCAAGAGGCTTGTAAGAGCCATATAATACGGTATCCATAATACAATTCTTATTGTTGAAGTAAGCTTTCAGACAAATATAATAAACTCCTTAATCAGTTTTGGTGTCTTTGTTTGGTGTCTTGCTGCAAGGGGCATGTAGTGTCTTTGTTCCAGTGTTATTTGTCCACTATTGATTATTGTGTTTTAAACTTGTAATTATTTTAGTATCTATAGTCATTTAATCAATCACATATTGGTAGTATTTTGTGAATACATGCAATGATTTATTTGTATTTGTTTCTATCCAGCATCCGATGGTAGTTTTTAAAACACCGAGGAGCAGAGGCATAGTTAGCAGGGGGGTTAGGGGGGCGTGACAACCAGATTCTTCATGAGTTTGTCAGTAAATTTTCAGTTAGTGCAAAAATTCCCTGGTTAGATTAAATAGCACCTAAATATATCTTTATCTATGTCTTCATCAGCAAATTTTTCTACTCATGACCCTCCATCCCCCCTTGACTGGAAGGTTAAGCTATGCCACTGCTTAGGAGCTATGCTTATTGGGCAGTACCCAGATCCCTCTACTTGATGTGACCAAGACTTGTGATTTCTATGCCTGGAATTGCAGAGAGCTGGTGACTCCCCTTGCTCTGGGTGAAACTGTGGTCATGACACAAACTCAAACCACAAACCCTTGGATTGTAGTCCCTGACCCTAAGAACTGAACCATCCTTGCAGTTCCGTGATGTAGAAACTGAGTTGGTAGAAATGTCAAAACAATAAAAAATGTGGATCATACAATAGCATACTACACTATACCTTTTCTGCAAGTTAAATCTGAAAAGGTATTTCAAAGATCTCTGCTTAGGAGAGATGTTTGCGTCTCTCAACAAAGTTTTCAAGCCTTCATTATTTTGAAATATAAATTCTAAATTGCTCACCTTCTTCAAAAGAGAAAATAAGAAGCTGTTTGATTATAGAAGATGACATATTCATTAAGCTTCATTAGTTCATATTAACTTTGACTAGGTGTTACAACATGTTTTTGAATACCTTGAAGCTTTTATTCAACAAAAAACACATCCAATTAAAAACAGGGATCTAGATTTATGCTACCGGTACCCAGAGAAAAAAGCTAGCTTGGATATGCACTCTCTAAATCTATATTTTTGTCATTAAATTCATTCTTTATTGGTTACCATTTATGATTTGGTTATCTTCACTCTCCTTCCTAACTCCTCAAATCTTTTACTTGGTCAAATTATTTTAATAATCAAATCAACAGAAATAATTTTTTTGTTAACTACAATTTATCTGAAATACAAAACAAGTCTTCTTGCATTTGAGGGACGATACCTGCCAAAAGTACTTGGAACACCCAGCAACTTGCATTGCATTTTATATCTTTCATTCCTTTTTCGAAAAAAATGACTACTTCCCCCCTTCCCCTAGAACAATGTTGATAATTTAGAGAGATATAATAGAAAAAGCGCAAAAGAAAGTGCTCCCAAAAATCCTAACCAGTTTCATGGTAAACTAGCATTGTTCTGTGGAGGAGAGGGGGATGATTGATTTTCACCTTGAAAACTGATGTCAGTGTTCCAAGACTTTTGGTAGGCATTGGAGATTTAGAGAAGGAGATAGAAAGATAACAGGGGTATTAGAGTAGGGCATGGATGCTTGAAGGTTGAACACTTACAGCTTACATCATTTTTGAGCAGGCACCTCCAGGAAAAAAACAACTATAAAAATCCCTTGCCAGCTTGGCTGCGTGGACAATTCATCCCTTGCTGACCCTGATATTTAGCAGTAAGTGATACAAACATTGAGAAGCCAAGCTGTGCTAATTAAATGAGAACATTTGTTTGAAAAACTGCGCAGGAAGAAAAAAGCACTCACAAATTTATTTAGCATGTGGTTTGCGTGGGGGCGGGCTATAGCCTGCGTCTCCAGGTAAGGCCTGCCTTTAAGTTTACCAGAGAAACCGGAGGCAGAACTGGACAAGAAAATTGTTGACTTTAGGCTAGAAAACATTGAAAAAATCCCATCTTTTTTGGTTATTTGACTTGACTGCTTTTTATGCTTGTATAAAAGTAAGAAAGGGCTTAACAGAGAGGTAGCTTATTTGATATTTTTGCCTGGAAAAGTGGCAGTTTAATACATGGGGAGGGGGGAGGGTAAGAGCTCTTATGTTCATTAATGCAAATCTTAAAGCTGTTTACATCCAAAACTTAACGGACATCACAGTGTTTCTATTACTGATTTTCATTTTTGCAAGATAAGAATAACATGATGAAAAGCCTTGCAGCTTTCCTTCCAGTTTAAATAAAACGTATTACAAAACCAGCATAAAATGAGCTTAACTTCATCCTTTTTTCTATAGAAAGGTGAGAAACATTTGTTTTTAAATGTTTTCTATAGAAAGGTGAGAAACTGTTGTCCGTAAGTGCCTCACGTGCAGTGCGTAATGTTCAGTTTCTTGATAAATCTGGCGGCTATAGTGATGATACTGAAAAACAAACGGTGCTCAAGTAAGTGACCTTGCCTTTAAATCGGGCAAGCGTCAAACAAGCCTTAGAGTGTATCATTATTCGTTCAAACTCCAAAGAAAATATTTCTTACAATGTTTCCAAAAGTCTTAAATTTCCTTCCACAGAAGTCGCCATCCTTTTTGTGCTCCCCTCCTCTTTTGCTGTTTGGCCTACCTGCAGCGGCTCACTTCGAGCGATACTGGTCTTTTTATGTATTATATTCATCCTCGGTGCTTGAATCTTTAGTAGCTATGGTCAATCAATAAATATTCAGGCAACTTCCTTTATGTTTATTTAAATTTTGAAAATCACGGTGCGCACACTTTGTTAGTAGCCATTATCTTCGGTTTGTTATCACTGGGTTGTTGTGGTCCATTATCACCACAGGGTGTCATGATTCATTTTAGCTCCTCCGCACAAGACACGGTTTCACAAGACACGGCTCAGTACTTTTAATCTTTTTTCGGGTGACATACAACGAAAAGTAAGCTAGATTTTTTGGAACTTCTGCTCGATCTAAGCTTAAATGAATTTAGATGGTGATTTCTTTACACAAGTTCAATTAAAAATGCCCATTTCTTGTCATCTGAATAACTATTATCTTGAGTTAAATGGGTAAACGGACATAAGCTGGCTTCACTTTATGTTGGGGTCATCAAGGGGTGTTCACCGTTCACCGTTCCGCGCAATTTCTAGTCGCAGTTCCGCGGCTCCGGTCATTTTTAGCGAAACTTCCACTTCCAAAAATTGTTGATAGATGCTGCTGCGTTAATAAGACAAGGTTTGGCCGGGTTCTGTTTTACAAGACAACACCTAAAGAATTCTGCAAACTGCTTTAAACTTGATAAAAATTTCGTATTCTGTGTATTATTTTCATACACTGAGTCCGGCAAGTGTGGAGAATTCCGTCCATCTGGTGGAAATGGCCAAATTTCCGTAAACCGCAACAAATTTTCTTAAAATTCCGTTTTTCCCCAAACCCTGATGACCTCCACCTTTATACTCTAGCAATCTAAGTTAACTATCCAAGTTAAAAATTTTATGCGCTTTAATTGAAAAGAACTTAACTTCAATTCTGAAAGATCTTTATGCTGTAGACAATTCTGGTATTGATGGAACCCTGCATTGATGACGTCATAAAATTTTCTTTACTTCTCTCTCTCTTGCTTGAAATACTCATGGTCCCATCCTTTTCTTTGCCGACCAAAATCCAGATTAGGCAGATATGCACCCCTTCTAAAATATACCAACAAGAATTGTTCAATGCGTAGGAATACATACTCACCTTGATGCATTGCTTGCAAAAAGATTCCGCATAAAATGGAAGATGCGCTTCACCTAATTTTCTAGTGACTTCTCAAGGCAGCTTCATTGTTACAGTCCTCAATTTATTGTGCGATGTCATTTTCTAGGTAGAGATTGTCCCAGCATCCTAAATCATAAATGGTAATAAAACATCCTAAATATATTATAATCTGGTATTAAAGAAAAGTATCTATTATAATCAATGCTACATCAATCTGTGAAATAACATTTTTAGTAAAGAAATAATTTGGTAATATTAGAAAATAGCGATGAATTTCTGCCACAGCCCAATAATGAAATTGTTTATAGGATTATCTTCAACACTCCATTTACGCAATCAATTTGCTGAATTAAGCAAATCGATATTCCCTTTACAAGCAATCAATTGGGATCAAATAAAAGCACACATAAAGCTTGTATTGTGTTAGTATATTTCCTAAAGTGTTTTCGTAATGAAGAACGACAGTATCTAGGATTAGCATTTTCTTCTAGGGGTATTTCTTGAGTGCTTGAGGAGTATTCCTTCTAGGGGTATTCCTTGAGTGCTTGAGGGGTATTCTTGAGTCCATTGACTTTTGTTTGTAAATTCTCTATTTCAGATTCAGAATTAAAAATCTATTCAGGTTCAAATTTTATATAAATATATCCACTAAAAAAATACAATAAAGATTTACAAGCTACGCTACTTTACAAAATTGAGTCGTCCATCTAAGAACATTTGACTTTGAGGCACGCAAAAGAAATATTAATAAACCGTTACTTGTATCGCTAATGTTAGTTACATTTTATTATAGATTTGTACAAACTATTTGAGAGAGATACCACGGTTTCCATAAATCTTGTCACTCGATTCAGTGATATTTATAAAAATGTCACATTGGATCATTGAAACCACTTGTGCTAACATTCAAAATACAGAAACAAGGATCCCAACTTCTGTAGACAGAAGGAAACTGTTTTCTCTCTTAGATTTCTTCAACTAGGCGAGAGATTATCGTTTGCTGATTGGCAGAAACAGAACAAAAGTAACAATCCAGTGAGGATCCAGTCACGTTACTTTCGATCCACACCTGGATATATGTTTTCTGCTTTCTTTTTATCATTATCCGACGTGTTACTCTGAAGAGCGTCAGACGAAAAATACTTTAGTACACTAGAAATCCGCACAAAAGAACCTATTTTTATAAGAACATTGAGGCTAAAATTTTACCTTTAAAACCCCATAATCAAGAATCCCAAGAGGCTGAAATTTGGAAAGGTTCTTATGTGTATATATAAGAAAAAGGGGGAAAAAGGGTCTTCAGAGTAAATCAGGTTATGGTATGTTGCATTCTAATTGGACAATCTAACAACAAAAATTCATTTGATTGGTTGAAATTCAACATAAGAAAAAGCTGGTTTAAGTGTGTCCATTAGAATTCTTGCCGTGGAAAACATTGTTAATGTGCGCAAGCCCTGTACTTATATAAGAACCTTGTTAAGAACCTTTGAGACTGAAATTTAGAATAGCAGCCTGTTAATTAGGAACCGATTCAGGCTGCCAGAAAAAACCTAGGTTCTTTTATGTGGGTTTCTACTGATTGCTATGTTTCCTCTATTTCCTGCCATCTTCAAATTTTGCTTTACCAAAAGCCTATTTGATCTAGAAATTTGCTGAAGAGCACAAAAGAGCTTATAGAATGTTTTCTCTGTAGCAATGAAAACATTTGAAAATTCAGAGTTTAGGCAAAAATTCGTCATCCCCTGCACACTAAATCACGTAGCTGTCAAAAAGGAAGTTAATTAATTGTCGTGCTTCCATGTTCGATAATAATTTGAACACGTAGACGGCTGTTTTAATTCACTTGAAAATGATCCTATTTGCGTAATCTGCGAGTAGGTTTTCATTGCTTTCTGCAGCATGTTTCTAGACAGTTAGGATTAAGGATAAACGATTAAATATTTAGAATTTTTTTATAAGAAAGAGTACCAGCTTGTATCCAGCAACAATGATTTCAATTAAAGTTTTTACATTTTCTTCTTCGTGTGCAGCCACAAAGTAGAAGAACTGCTGGTCGTTTGGGCTGTTTTCTGAAACAATTTCAAATCTAATTGAGCATATGTTTCCTTATTGCTTTGCAGTTTTTGCCGCATTGTCTTATATAGACAGCCTTGCAGGAGGTTTATCTGTGAATGTGAATTGCCTCTGTAGTATTTCGTAAACAAATGCAAAAGAATCATAATAATACAGCTCAAAACAGTCAAATAAAATATTTTCATTGCCAACAATTCGCTATTTACAACCATCCTTGACTCTTATGAAGACTGTGTATATTATGCAGAAAATACTTAACATCTCCAGGTGGAATCATCCCCTACTGATCGTCAATTTTTGCTAATTGTCCTCTTTCAGAAAGGACAATCAATGGTTTTTTTTCTTAAAATGGCAGATTTCTCTGTCGATTCACAGCATACATCGTTGTTATAAAATCATAGGCTTGAAAGGATGCGGTGTTTTATCTTGATGACCTGGTCATTGGCCGCAATTTTGTAAATAAGGCAAGCCAATTCTAGCAATTTTCTTCCCTCTTTCAAATATTATAGTAAAACTGAAGTAGTGGCATAACAAAAATGTGTTTTTTGGCTTGTCATTTCTATGATGTTTGTTGCTAAGCAGGTCTTTCATTTCGGAAATTAGCAACCATCTAAGCTGTCTCATAAACTAGCCTCCAAACATTAGCTATTGCAGTAACATATATACAAACGGTTACCAAAGAAGAACCTTCTTAGTGCATAGACAAATGTACTCCCTATCACTTGAGCATAACGACGTTAATAAACACATGGTTCATAAGCGTTGCCTTGAAAACATGATTACAAATATAAACTTTCTAGATTAGGAACTATCAATTTCGGCAAATGAAATAAAATTTTCTCAAACTACTTTTGCAAAGGTAAGAAACGTTTGTCTCCATTTGCATATATTCTAACAGTACTGATGTTTTTAAGAAAGTAAATTAGCAATCAATATTAATACCTTAATCAAAGGGCAAACAGTATAAATCACATTGTAATCACCATACATTCAAGCTGTTCAAATCAATTTGAATTTAGAAAAGTCTGTAAATTCTTTTTTATAACAGCTAATGTTATCATTTATAGCTTAGTCAACAATTATTTAATCAACAAAGAAAGAAAAGCGAATAACGTTTATATAAAAGCAAGCCTTTAATCAAACATTGCTAAAAAAGGACTAGTGGCTTTAACAGCAATCAATATTTTACTGTTTTCAACTTCTAGAGCAAGTTTTTTCTTAACTGGGAAATCTTCCTCTTATATTACGATTCTTTTTAATTAGTTTAGCAACACGCTTTCAATTAATTTCAAGCTCACTCATACTGATTTATTAAAAAAGTGTTAACAGCTTTTCCCACCTTAGAGTTGGTTCTCTTGTCTGTAACAAGCAATTGCATCTTTGAAAGACAATGCATAATAAAAAGTATTGTTAAGTATAAATTTATAAAACTCCTAATTTTACTTTTCATTACAAAATAAAAAGGTTATTCATTCAAAGGATTATTACATTTTGACGGATTTATACCTTTGACTAGCGCAAGATTAAGCTTCAACGATCAATGATTTTTTGAAATAACATGCTCTACAAGCAAACGTTTTATGCACGTTTATCAGAAATAACAATAGATTTTCAATGTATCTAAACTGTACGTAGCTCAGAAAAGTTATTTAACACAAAATATATTCACCTTTAGAGGTAGAGTAACCCTAGCAATGTGTTTACGTTAAAGAAATTTCAACCTTAGTTCAGGACAGTTCTTCCTATTACAGAGAACGAATTTACAGGCCTGTTAGTGTCATGCTGGCCAATGGATCTTTCTAGGTACTAGACAGCGCTACCACTACATCCTTGCAACCTTTTTTGTCAGCAAATCCTTATAGAATTATCAGGAATATTATACAAACATTATCTTTAAAACAATTGAAGTTTACTAATGTCACTTAGACGGCATGTTCACTTTAGTTAGGTGGGGTCATCCATTGGTATCCAAACTTCGACTCAAGCACTTCCAAAATCATG